CACCTTTGAAAGACTTTTGCTGAATGTGAATGAGAGGAATTCACATTTGTTTAATAAAAGCGGTTTAGGGGCCAGGAATGTGCTTTTTGGGGAAGCCTAGGTCAGAAGAGAAATGGGGAGATTTGTGCCACAAATGCACGACCCAATTCAGACATCAAAGTCAACTTTCCTTCATGTCCTTGTTGAGGTGCGTCTGTTTCTCACCCAATGAATTCAGCGTGGTCCTTGCCGAAAGCTGAGCAAGACAACCATCTTCAGATATCGATAGAGATTTCTCCTGCAACTGGCAGCTACAGCCATCAATCTTGCAAGCACTGACTTTCCATTCCCTGAGCTGGTTATATTTAGAAAGGACGATCTGCATATTCTGCTTTTCAGAGCATGACACAAGACACGGCCCTTCCTACTTATCCACCAAGTAAGCAGATCCAAACCCTGGTTCTCTCCCCCAAAACCACCTCAGGTTTTCACCAAAGTAGACATTCCTGGAAATGAAGAGATCCTTTCTTAGTAAGTAAGCAAGACCACATCTAGAATTCTGCACCCAGTTTTGGTCACCACAGTATAAAACAAATGTAGAGGCTCTAGAAAGGGTGCAGAGCAGAGCAACCAGGATGATGAGGGGACTGGAGGCTGAAACATAACGATGAACAGTTGCAGGAACTGGACATGGCTGGTCTAGAGAAGAGAAGGACCAGGGGAGACAGGAGAGCAGTCTTCCAGTATTTGAGGGGCTGCTATAGAGAGGAGAGGGTCAACCTGTTTTCCAAAGCAACAGAAGGCCAGGCAAGGAATAATGGATGGAAACTGAACAAGGAAGAGATTCAACCTGGAAATAAGAAGAAATTTTCTGACGGTGAGAGCAATCAACCGATGGAACAGAAATTGCCTTCAGAAGTTGTGGGAGCTTCATCCCTGGAAGGTTTGAAGAAGAGACTGGGCTGCCCTCTGTCAGAAATGGGGTAGGGTCTTCTGTTTGAGTTGTGAGGGGTGGAACTAGATGACCTACAAGGTCCCTTCCAACTCTGTTATTCCGTTAAATCTGAAGATTTTATCTCTCTCTTAATCTGTATTTCTTCTTTGAGGTTCTACACATCAGATGGATGTACCACCAAAACTGAGCCCTGGATGGTCACGTGAGCAAAATTCAGATGCTTGGCCACGGACTCATATTTATGACGGTCTCCGTGTCCCAGGGTCACGTGATCTGCTTTTGTGACCTTCTGACAAGCAAAGTCAACAGGAAGCCATGTTCGCTTAATGACCGTGTCACTCACTTAACAACTGCGGGGATTCTTTTAACAACAGTGGCAAGAAGTGTCGTAAAATTGTGCGAAATAGAGCTGGAAAAGTCCTCGGGTGGGGGGCTGGACTAGATGACCTTCAAGGCCCCTTCCAACTCTGTTCATCTGTCTGTTCATCTGAAATGGTGTAGGGTCTCCTGCTTGAGCAGGGGGCTGGACTAGAAGACCTCCAAGGCCCCTTCCAGCTCTATTCGGAATTCATCAAAAGTGGGGGGGCATCTTGGCCGCTGGAAGCTTTCAAGAAGAGGCCAGACTGACATCTGTCAGAAATGGCCTAGGGCAGGGATGGATAATCTTGTTGTCGTCACATGCCAAATGCACACACGCACTGTCACATGCCCACATCCATAATGCAATGCACGACACCCCCGCATCCCCCACACCCTGCGCATGACACCCCTGATCTCCCTTGCCCCCCCTGCGCATGCACACAAGACCCCTTCTGTCCCCTGTCTTGGGCCTAGCAGGCCTCCCTGAAGCCTCCTGGGACCAACATTGGCCACGGGGGGGTGGGTGGGAGGGTACCGCACTCCATGTGACCCCCCTGCCCCCCACGCATGGGCGGCAGAGACAGGTGGCCGGCCGAAGGCGCACACACATGCACGGTGGAGCTAAGCTGGGGCAACGGCTCGCGTGCCCACAGAGAGGGCTCCCGATGCCACCTGTGGCCCATATGCCATAGGTTTGCCATCATGGGTGTATGGTGTCCTGTTTGGATGGGTGGTTGGACTGGATGACCCACAAGGTCCCTTCCAATCCCGCCATTCCGTTAAACCTGAGGATTTTGTCTCTCAAAGCCACCCAGAATAGCAAGAATTGGGGGTTTCTGCAGTCTACCCTGAGGAGCAGCCCCCGCCATAAATCCTTCAGCATCTCCCAAAGATTTAACACAGTTGAGGAGAGCAAAATGGGCAGATAAGGTGAGGACGTCCTTAACCGCCTTCAGCCATCCCCGAAATCGAAAACCTCCGCTAACCTTCTCTGCTCTTTCCAGGCAAAGCCTCTTTCCCACTTGATTCTCCACTTGATCGGTTAACAGAAAATATATACCCTCCTCGCCCGCGCCAGGCTCGATAAACAAGGGAGCACGCGTTGCCTTTCAGATGACACCTCCAATGCTCGGTGGTAACAGCTTCTATTAAATTAATGATGTTACCCACACCATGAATTAGGCAAATTGTATGCAAATACTGTTTGAGTAGCAATACAGCGGTTATCAGCTGTCTGCAAAAATAAATTAGTTTGGCAGGGTAAAGATATTGTGGAGCGGCATATTTAATTGAGTGCTAATTTTATTGTGATTATTACTTTTAAGTAACAACAGCGTGGTTATTAAGCAACATAATGTGATGAGTTTACACAGAACTGATAAAAAAAAAAATCTTCCTCATTGAGCCTGGCAGGAAGATTATTCCGATACGGAGTAATTTATGGTTTCCATAAATGCCTGGTTTTTTTTTTTTTTAAGGTGCTATGAAAAATAAACGACGATAAAATAAATACAGCTTGACACATTTTGGGGAATTCCAAGCCAGGCAGCTCCAATGTGTTTGGCAAAATGACAGGAGCAGTTTCACAGGCAAAGGTGTTTCTCTCTCCCTCTTTTTTTTAAAAAAAGGTGATTATTGTGATTCACAATTCCTAACAGCTCCACAAATCAGCAGAAACACCTAAACCAACACCTTCCAGGCATGTGCAAAGCGGGCCCTGCCAAAATATCAACCTCTTTTTTCCCTCCCTCCATTCCTTCCTTCATTCCATCCTTCTTTCCTTCCTTCTTCCTTCCTTTCTTTAACTTTGTGGACCGTCTGCAGCCTCGTTGGAAGGGACACAATCTGGAAACCATTTTATAATTATTATTTATTATCCGTCTCATGATTATTTCCCCAAGTCTCCAGGAAAAACACAAATTACGACACACTTGTTCACTTGGCAAACTCCAACATCAAGCAAGCCCAAATACTGGCAAATACACTTTCCAAATGATTTTCCGAGGCATCAAAGCATCCATGGGTTTTTTTTTCCTTTTCTCAATGTAAAACTGATTCCCAATAATAACAATAACAACAACAACCAGTAAAATTACCAATAATTACCAGTAAAATTACCAATAAAAAAATACCAGTCAATGGTATTTGTGATGCATTTTTGAATGTTCAGTTGACTTTCATGATTAACGAATAAAAGTTTATAATAATTATAATTATAATAATAACAACAGCAATAATAGTCTCCCCCTCCCCCAAACTGAAACCTTGAAATATATGGGCTCAACTTAAAAGCTCAGCTATTTGCAGGAGGGGGGGTGGCCGCGGGGGGGGGAGGTGAATAGGAAAACAATTTCCCCACTTTTGCAAAACCAAATTTCTCTTCTCCCCTCCCTCCCTCTTTCTCCCCCCCCCCAACATTTTTCAACTCTTTGTATTTTCAAGACTTTTTTTGCTTGGTTTTTTTTTTAGTTGAAAAGAAGGGCGCTTCGGAGGGGGGGGAAGCAGATGGGAAGATGGGGATCCCCGCGTATCGTTTGAATGCAGCCCGGGGCGCATTTTTCTTTTCTTTTTTCTTTTTTTCTTTTGCAAAACCAAATTTCTCTTCTCCCCTCCCTCCCTCTTTCTCCCCCCCCCCAACATTTTTCAACTCTTTGTATTTTCAAGACTTTTTTTGCTTGCTTTTTTTTTTTGTTGAAAAGAAGGGCGCTTCGGAGGGGGGGGAAGCAGATGGGAAGATGGGGATCCCCGCGTATCGTTTGAATGCAGCCCGGGGCGCATTTTTCTTTTCTTTTTTCTTTTTTTCTTTTGCAAAACCAACCCGCGAGAAATGCAAAGGTCGGGGTGAGAGAGGGAGTGGTAGGTGGGCTCCTAGAAGTCCCACTCCCCTTCATTTGGGGAAAGAGAGAGGGGCGTGATGCGGGACAGCAGCCGAGCAGACCTGCTCCAACTTGGGTTCAAGCGCGCGGCGGCGGCGGCTTGACGGGCATAGGATGGCGAGGAGGGGAGACGGCGGTGGAAGATGGGTCAGGGGGTGCGTGAGTGTAAGAGGAGAGGGCGGGGGAGAGGAAAGGTCCCTGAATACCCCTCCCTGCATTTCTCCCCGAGAAGGACCGCTCGTCAACTTGGAGCATCCAAAGACCGCTGCGCGCGCCGCGACGCGCGCCACGGCAC